ATCTTTCCCCTGCCCCCTCCTTCTCGCCTTCTCTGTCTCTCTGGCTCTGCTTTTCAAAGAAATAAAAATAAATTAAATTAAATCTTTAAAAATGCTTAATTCTACTTTTATGAGTTTTAAATGCTGTTTATTTTTGACACATAATTATATGTGTACTTATAGGGTACAGTGTGATGTTTTGGTACATGTATATACATTGTTACTCTTGATAAGTCAACTTGGAAAATTGCTGACTATGTATGTATACATTTACCGGTTGCAATTAGTATGTATTTTCATTCTTTCATTGCTCACAAAACTGTCTCATAAGCTGTTTCTTGTTTCTCTGTATCTTTCCTAATGGTCACTTAACAGTTGCATGATGCTGTGTTTTGTTATAATAGCTTAATTTGTTAATTCAGTCCTTAATATTGGATGTTTAGTGTGCAACCAGATGCTTAAACTGCATGTTCCTAAATGGTAAAATGTATTAGTTTGTTCTGATTAATGACTTGTATTACTTTAATATAGAAACATTTGGGAAACACACACACAAAATCCAGGAATACACACAAAAATCTTCTGTATCCTCTGTTAGGACATATGTTTACTGAATTTTGATAAGTACTGACAAATTGCTCCCCAAGTAAATTACAATGTTGGAAGTCTAAATTCTATAAGGGATTGCCTATTTCCCTATGTGGCCACCAACATGGATATAGTAGTTATTCTTTGTTTTATTTTTGAGAACTTGATAGAGAAAACAATATTTTTTATACATTTTATATTTCATTTGTTGTTGGTAAGGTTGAACATTATTGTATTTAAGAAGTTCTAGGGAAAAAAAAATTGAGAAATATGGCCATGAGCCATATGTTTCCTACTTATGTTTGTTGCGGAATCACTAGTCTTCCTTTGAAAGAAACACCCTTAGAATGTAAATGGCACGATGAGAATCTGTTAAAGAGGGAAGATACTTGTAAAATGTGTGAATTGAGGGCTTTGACCTGTTGGAGCTAAGTATTTCAATGCACAACTTGGTAAAAACCATATTGCTGCTGTTTCTAAACCCTCTACCAACCAAATTTTCATGTTTAGCACTGTAGAGGCAGAGATAAGAACATAATCATATTTGGAGGTTCTTTCCTTTTGTGATTTTTTTTCTCTCAGTGATAATTTCCCAGTCTTGTGTCTTTTAGCTCCTGTGTATACAAATTTAGAATTATTAAAATGTTTTCTATTTTTTTCATGATTAACTTTAAACAAAACAAAACAAAACAAAAAAAAAGAAATATGGCCAGAAGGACAGACCATGATTTGTTACCTTTGAAGATTTTGGAAGATTGACACTTTCCACTTTGTGCACTACCATACCATTTAAAGTATGTGTGACTTTGTACCCCCACCCCCAATTTCAAATATAAAGTTTTCAAAGTAGTGAATAGGGCATATTTTTATTTTATTTATTTTTAGAATATTTATTTACTTACTTGAAAGTCAGAGCTCAGGGGAGGGGAGCGAGCGAGCGATATCTTCCATCCGCTGGTTCACTCCCCGAGTGGCCACGATGGCCAGGGCTGAGACAGGCCAAAGCCAGGGAGCTTCATCCAGGTCTCCAATGTAGGGGCTGGGGCCCAAGCGCTTGGGCTTTCTTCTGCTGCTTTTCCCAGGCACACTGGAAGGGAGCTGGATCGGAAGTACAGCAGCTGTGACACGAACTGGCACCCATAAGGGATGCCTGTTTGATTGGCAGTGGCTTTACACGCTTCACCACAATGCTGGCCACAGGGCATCTTTTTAAAAAAACTACATTGAATATGATTAGGTATCAATTAATTATGCAAGACACTGTTGGGTAGAGACTATAGAAAACTGGCTAAAGTGCAGCCCTTGGTATCATTGTTTTGTTGAGTCAGTAAAATGCATTCATACACACTTTTAAGATGAGGATGTAGGGGCCGGTGCTGTGGCATAGTGGGCTAAGCCTCTATCTGCAGTGCCTCCATCCCGTATGGGACTGGTTCAAGTCCCGGCTGCTCTACTTCCAATCCAGCTCCCTGCTAATGCACCTGGGAGAGTAGTGGAAGATGACTTAAGTGCTTGGGTCCCTGCACTCACTTAGGAGACCTGGAAGAAGCTAATTGTCTAAGGCAATTGTGGCCATTTGGGGAGTGAACCAGCAGATGGAATATCTCTCTCCCTGTGTCTCTCCCCTTCTCTCTCTGTAATTCTCTCAAATAATTCTTCTTCTTCTTCTTCTTCTTTTTTTTTTTTTTTTTTGACAGGCAGAGTGGTCAGTGAGAGAGAGAGACAGAGAAAGGTCTTCCTTTTGCCGTTGTTTCACCCTCCAATGGCCGCTGCGACTGGCACACCGCGCTGATCCGAAGTCAGGAGCCAGGTGCTTCTCTTGGTCTCCCATGTGCGTGCAGGACCCAAGGACTTGGGCCATCCTCCACTGCTCTCCCAGGCCATAGCAGAGAGCTGGACTGGAAGAGGGGCAACCGGGACAGAATCTGGCGCCCCGACCGGGACTAGAACCTGGTGTGCCGGCACCACAGGCGGAGGATTAGCCTATTGAGCCACGGTGCCAGCCCTCAAATAATTCTTAAAAAGAAAAAAATGAGGAAATAATACAGTTCTTTTTAAAAAAAAATTATTTGAAAGTCAGAGTTACACAGAGAGCAGAGGCAGAGAGGGAGGTCTTCCATCCGATGGTTCACTCCCCAATTGGCCGCAATGGCTGGAGCTGTGCCGATCCAAAGCCAGGAGCCAGGAGCTTCCTCTGAGTCTCCCACATGGGTACAATGGCACAAGGACTTGGGCCATCTTTTACTGCTTTCCCAGGCCACAGCAGAGAGCTGGCTTGGAAGAGGAGCAGCTGGGACTAGAACCGGCGCCCCTATGGGATGCTGGCGCTTCAGGCCAGGGTGTTAACCCACTGTGCCACAGCGCTGGCCCCAATAATACAGTTGTTACTAGTGACCCCGTGTCTCACCGAGATAGGACACCCTTATCATTCTTTACATGGCTCCTTCCTGCACGTTGTTCAGCGTGTCACATGGGGCATGGTTCTCTTTGTTGGTCTCCATAGTAGAGATGCTGCCAAATGGGTGGGATGGAGTCTGGTGGAGAGTTTGGGAGTCATTCTGAAAGGAGCTCAGAGTATAGAAAAGAATTCACTCGGAAGGCTGATCTTTTGGGATGGCTCCATTTCATTAGACAGTAATCGAGGAGAGTATGGCTATGTATGAATATATGACGCCTTCAGCACTATCCATTGCTACAGATCTTGGAATGTATCTCCCAAGGATAAATGGGACTACTGTGTTAGCCTGCCTTCAGTAATGCTTCTGGATTCATATCTAGTCTCGGTAATGCATACTGAGACTCTCCTAAAGGAATAATGCAAAGACATAGGAAAGTGTTTATTTGCAAAAATGAATAATGGACAACATCCCAGTGTTTGACAACAGAAAAATAGCAAAACGAGTTTCTATTAATTCTTCAGAACTTAAGTGGTACTTCTCTTGAAGTCTTCCTGACATGCCCCCAGCTCTGGGCTCCCATGGTGACCTGTGTGTCACTCAGCACAGCACAACCCCAGGCTCTATGTTTGTGCTGAGGTAGACATCTTAAAGATAGTGAACTTCTTGGCTTGGTCTTCCCAATACCTGGCACAGTGCCAGGCACAAACATCTACATTATGTGATTATATGTTCAGTATGACTGTTTGTTAGGGCTTCTGTAACTGAGTACCACAAACTGGTTGGGCTTAAGCAACAGAAATTTGGTAGTTCAGGAGGCTGGAAATCGGGATGTAGGAAGAGTTGGCTCCTTCTGAAGGCTGGGAGGGCTTGATGGAGTCATGTCAAAGTCTGTCTGTACCCAGAACAGTGCCAGAGGAGAGTGTGGGTCAAAGCAGTTCTCTTGGGATCAGCATTGTGGTGCAGTGGGCAAGCCGCTGCCTTCCATGCCAGTGTTCCGTATGAGTGCTGCTTCCAGTCCTGGCTGCTCCACTTCTAATCCAGCTCCCTGCTAATGCACCTGGGAAGCAGCAGAGGATGGCCCAAGTGCTTGGGCCCCTGCCATCCACATGTGAATCCCGGAGAGTTCCAAGCTCCTGGTTTCAGCCTGGTCCAGTTATGGGTATTGTGGCCATTTGGAAAGTGAAACAGTAGATAGAAAATCAGTATTTCTCTCTCTCTCCCTCTCTCTGTCTCCTTCATTTTCTCTGTGATTCTGCCTTTCTAATAAATCTTTTTTTTTTAAAGGCAGTTATCTTGATTTTTTTTTTCATGACATAGGCAGAGAGCTTCCTGGAAGCTTCCTGGAACTGCCCTAATTTACCCTCATGAGGTGAAAACCCACATGTCTGCTTAGGCCCTGCATGTGCACCACGTGCTTGTACACACACACACACCACTCCCTGGGAACTCCCTCCCCTCCTCTGCTTTTGAGTCCTGGAACAGCAGTGAGATTCTGCCCTAGGAAATATTCATAAAATTCAATTGACCATAAGAGTACTTCGTAAGTGCTCTTAGCGACTCAAATCATATCAAACTTTTTGAGAAATGGAGGAAGAAAGGAAAATGAATTTAAGGGAACAGTATCCAGTGAGCCAACCTTATTTTAAAACCATATTAAGTGGGTCACGGATCTACATTTTGTAATTTCCGAAATGGCTAATGCTTGGACTGTTTGTTAGCATTGTAAGAGTGGCCTCTTGTCATTGTCAATTCTTTCTACATTACACAGATTAGGTTGCTTTTTAACTCGCTATTTATATTCCATGGTCATTTCGTTTCCAGTCCTGGAAGTCCCAAGACTCCATTCTTAAGGGGGGGTCTCCTACCAGCTGCTAAGGAAAATCGCTGCAGCCCAGCTGGCTTCTGCCAGCAGCCCCCATGCAGGCCCTCCCTCCCCCAGACCCCTACAGGGAAGCCCCCTTTCCCACTGATGTACAGGGGAGGAGCTGGACTCCTCCCTCGCTTGTAGGGATGTGTCTCCCTCCAGTCATCCATCCTTTGTTCTGCTCTGTGGAGCCCCCATGTAAATCGGCTCTCTGCATTCACGCACAGATGGCCACCTCTGTCTCCCCTACCCCCGACCCTCCTTCCAGATAGGCCTGGACTCCTGGGGTTGTCCTCCTCCTGGTTACCCACTGCTTGTCTCCCCCTCCCAACCCTTTGTTCATAATACTGTATTTCAGAGAAGGAGACGGTGACCCCTAAAACTGATCAGTTGTTCGTTTTTGACACTCACATCACACACCATTGTCTTACGGTGACTAGTAAGCTAATGAACTCCTGAGCAGTTATGTTTTGAGCCTAAAGGCAAGCGGGAACACTTATTTCTCTGAAATCTGTTTGCACCCAATTTTTTGGGGTCCAGAAGAATTCTGATTCTGTTCTGGGGGATCTTGTGTCCCTGAATAATTTGCAAAGCCTGCCTGCCGATTACTGATGTATTTATCTAGGCTCCGGGCTCCGAAGACGGTGCAAAGCCCTCTTAAGGAGTTTGCCAAGGGCGTGCTGGCTCCTTAGAATAGGGAGAACAAAACCCAGGCCTGGCTGCGGGGCCCAGCTGACGGGCAGGCGGGCGGCTGGGAGGAGTGTCAGTTTGGTCATTGACATGTAAATGTCAGGGGGCACCGAGGCTGGTCCCCGGCAGACACTCCCGCCAGCCTGAGACGCACACAAAGCCCTGCTCTCAGAGGCTGTGGGTTTGCCTTTGTGTAGCCAGGAGGAGCTGGTGCAGAGGTGAGTGAGTCCCGTGAGTATCTGTGCTGTCATAGAACTGTTCCGTTTTGGACTGTGACTGTAGGTGGAAAGTTCCCCCAGCTGCAGCCGTGGGAGTGGTCTCTCTGGAATACACACTTCGCTGCGTGCTGACCTGGGTCCTTTCAAGGTTTTTGAAACGAAAATGAACACTACTAGATGATTACTAATTTGATTTGCTGTAAGGAGAAGAACAGTCACATTTGCACACATGTATGCATATTCAAGAAGATTGGACGTTAATAGGTTCGAAGTATGTATTGAAATTTCTGTAGCATAACCTTGTTTTTGGCATTGTTTCTGGAGTCCTGCTTGAGGTCTCTTTCTCTCCCTTTTTCTCCCCCCCTCCAGGTTCCCTCCTTGTCTCTAGTGCTTAGAGCTTATAAATTGTGCACATTGGTATAACAAGCACATGAAAGGCCGCATTGCTGTGTGCCTTGCAGGTGAGAGAAGAAAGGAAATGCACACCATTAGAAAAATCACAGCACCAAAGCACTGCTAAAGAGTGGTGGGTACACGAAGGGTTTTTTTTTGTTTTCCCTCCCTCTAAAACTCCAGTGGAGGAGTAAAGGCAGCGCCAGTGCCGTGGCTTCAGCGTGTGGCTTGTGAAGTACGTGGTGCTCCGGCATGTGGTGAGCTGTGTACGTTTCTGTCATGCTGGGTCCTTTCTGAACTCGTATAAGATCATTTAGGTTTCATATTCAGAATGATGCGTACTGGGTTGAGGTAGAGGAGAATCTTGATTTTTAGGTCTTGAAGTGAAAGAGTTTATTTGAAAAAAGCTATCCTACAGGAAACTCGCTTCCTTGGGTGCTTACAGAGATCTTTTGTTAATAAAAGGTGCATTTTCTGATCTACACCTCTCTCAATTTTTCTCTCCTTTCTCTGTGGTGCAGAAGGCTGTCATTCACAGTATGAGTTCAGTATGCAATGAATGTCAACTTTAATATTCAGACACTGTTTTGCTCTTTTAAAGTAATCATAATAGAATTCCCAGAATACTCGTAATGAGATTAGAAAAAAAAATTAAGTAGTCTTCCAGCTAGCAGCCATGAAGCCTATCATTAAGTCTGAAGTCTGTTCTTGATTTTTAAGTGTCTCTTGCTCTAATGAGCACCCCTGGGGTTGGTACAGTGGGAAGAATACACTGGGTCTCTCGGTACCCAGGCGGCCTCAGCGATGGAGTAGACCAGGGCTCTCAACCCCGAGCACTTGGACATGCTGCTGGAGAGCATTTCAGGCTGTCGCAGTCTGCAGACGCGCGAATGCCTGGACCTGGATGCTGGGCGTCCTGCAGCACCCTGAAGTACTGCCCTGCCTCGCCCTGTGAACAGCTGGCCCACCCCAGTCAGCAGTGGCTCCCTCGCCAAGGAACTGGCCCGATGATCACTTGGTCTCTATTTCTTTCCTGTTCATCAGAGCATGGCAAGCATCCAAAAATGAAGTGAAGCTAGCGCCCTTGGTGTCTGTGTGTTGCATTTACTATCTGACTGTCTTGTTCGGAGCACAGGTACACGTGTGACGCTGGGTCAGGTGACACTGGCAGTGGCATCTCGATTCCATGCTTCCCGGCTGCAGGAAGTCCCTGCTCTAAGCACGGAGCAGAGCCAGACCCGGGAATCTTGGTTGGCTTTAGATTTTCCTCCTGGCGTCCAGGGCCTGGACTTCTCTATTGTAGACAAAGGACAGCTGCCTCATCACACTCCCCGCTGCTGGGCGCCATCACATCTATCGGGAAGGGGTCACCTAGGAGGATTAGGGGCCACCCTGCAAATTTGCCTGCCTGCAGTCCCAGGCCAGACTGCAGGGAAGCTTCTAGACACCCCTGTCGGGCAGGAAGGGATTTGAGCCCGAGGTATCTGAATTCTTCCACAGGTTGTTGTGATTAAATGACTTCTTATTTGGGGCTCGGCGCCATGGCTCACTTGGCTAATCCTCCACCTGTGGCGCCAGCATCCCATATGGGCACTGGGTTCTAGTCCCGGTTGTCCCTCTTCCAGTCCAGCTCTCTGCTGTGGCCTGGGAGGGCATTGGAAGATGGACCAGGTGCTTGGGCCCTGCACCCGCATGGGAGACCAGGAGGAAGCACCTGGTTCCTGGCTTCGGATCAGCGCAGCTCTGGCCGTAGCACCCATTTGGGGGTGGGGGGTGAACCAACAGAAGGAAGACCTTTCTCTCCATCTCTCTCTCTCTCTCTCTCTCTCTCTGTAATTCTACCTGTCAAATAAGTCATTTTTTAAAGATTTTTTATTTATTTGACGGTGAGGGAGGTGCTATGAAGTGAAAGTCATGCAGGAAAGCTTCTCTTTGGATTCTTTCCAGAAGCAGCACCAGAGAGCTGCTACTCATCCTCACCAGACATTCTCTGTGAGGTGTTGCGTATATGCAACTCTTAACTAAAGTGTAGGTTACTTGGGACCTAATTTTTTTAAGATTTATTTTTATGTATTTTAAAGAGTTATAGAGAGGTAGAGACACAGAGGTCTTCCATCCACTGGTTCTCTCCCCAATGGCTGCAATGGCCAGAGCTGAGCCGATCTGAAATCAGGAGCTTTTTAGTTTCCCACATGAGTGCGGGGACCCACACACTTGGGTCATCTTCCACTGTTTTCCCAGGCCATAGCAGAGAGCTGAATTGGAAGTAGAGCAGCCAGGACTCGAACCGGCACCCATATATGATGCTGGCGCTGCAAGCGGCAGCTTTACTTGCTATGCCACAACGCTGGCCCCCTGGGACCTACTTTTAAAACAATGTGTTGTTGCTAATCTTTTAAAAATGTTACAAAAATAGGATTATGATATTTCAGAACCTACTTTGTTCACTTGGTGATATCTCAATGCATGTTTCTATGATACAGTCATTAGAGAAGTGTACATGCCTTTGGTCTTATTTCAGGTTGCAATTAGACAATGCCATAGACACGGTGCTTTGAAGCATGGAATATGGAGGCTGGGATGTCTGAGATTTGGGTACCAGCCTGGTTGGGTGCTGGTGACACCATCTTGCTGGTCTCTTGGTAGCCATCTCTTTGCTGTGTCTTCCCACTGGGAGAGCAAGGGGAGGGAGCAAGTTCTTTTTGCCTCTCTCAAGTGCACTAATCCCATCCAGAAAGTTCCACCCTCACGACTTGATTGCCCTCCTCCCTCCAAAGGCCCCCATCGAAATAACATCACGAAGTAACATCACGCCGAGGGCTCAGGTGGGAGGAGAGGCCATAGCATTCACTCCGTAGCAATCACTGGTGATCCACTGAGTACTGGGGGGTACAGGCCTAGCGTGAGACTCTCGGTTTCAGGTCCCAGCCCTGCCGCTGTGGACTTGCAGGTTGCTTCATGTGCCTCTGGTCAGTATGCTCATCTGCAAAGTGAGGAGAGTGCTAATACCAACCGCAGTAGTGTGTGTTGTGAATTAAATGAGATACCAGATGTTGACTGCTTGGGATGGAGCCTTGTGTATAGTTAGCACTCGGTATTTGTCGGAGAGCCTATCTTGTGGGCATCCGCGTGAGTGGATTCCTTTGCTATCCCATTAACCAATCTGCCGGCATGAGATATCCTGGTAATCAAATCCTTCCTGACATCCAGAGTTGTCACTTCAGTATCATTTACTAAAAATGAAACTTCTGGGTCAAAGAGCAAACAGCGCTTTAAGGCTTCAGATACATATCGCTGAATTTCTTCCACAAAGCTTGTCTCAATTTTCACCTAACCAACTCTTCTCAGCCTTAAAAAAATACATCTTAGCTTCCTACCTACATTCCACATACTCTGGGGCTACCCCTTGCCGTAATTAGGAATACAAACTCATTTAGTATTTTTCTGACATTAGCATATTTAGGGAAATGAACGATGAATTGGATAAATCATTTTCCAAATAGGAAAACAAGCCAGGATCAACTGCTACTTCATTGTATCTATGCTTCAACTTTTCTTCATTGGTCAAGTGCTGTTTATGTGTGAGAGAATGTGAACGTGTGTAGTCACCATGTTCTCTTGCCCCAGCCCAGTTTGATTTCCAGACATACTAGCAGACAAAAAAGCAAAAAAACCCACCAAAACCCAGCAACAATTTGTTAGAAAAAGTGAGTGAAATGCACGAAGTTATGAAACAGGAATTCCTTTATTCATTGATATGTAGAAATCCAGTGTTCTTTTGTATCTGCATTTACTATGAAGAAATTGCTACAAGGTTAGCATACACTAAAATGTGCTAACAGTGTACTCTTTGCTCTGTGGCTTGGTACTCAGTGCTGTGGCCTGGGTTCCTTGTTTGGCACACCTGTGCTGCCAAGTGCCAGTGGAGACGCTGCTGTCCCACCTGTCATTTGGGATGGGATGGGTTGGGATGACCGAGCGCCCTCTGTGTGGCTGTCACGGCCTGGCCTGGCCTTCTCTTGTATACAATGCAGTGTTGCTACATGAAATCTGCTTCTGCTTTGTTGTCAGCAATCGACTCATCTGTGTTTGACTGTAAACCCCAAATGCAAATATGAACATTTAATTCCCATGACCTACCTTTCTCTCTGTCTCTCTCTCTCTCACTGTCCACTCTGCCTGTCAAAAAAAAAAAAAAAATTCCCATGACCTAATGCAGTTAGCAGGGCAGCATCCAGGTGATTCCAAGTATCTTCTTGTTAAGAGCTCAAAATGTGGGGCTGGCATTGTGGCATAGTGGGCAAAGCCATGGCCTGCAATGCCAGAATCCAATGTGGGCTCCAGTTCATGTCCTGGCTACTCCTTTTTTTGTTTTTAAGACTTTTTAAAAATTTATTTTATTTATTTGAAAGGCAGAGTAACAGAGGTAGAGATCAGAGGAGTCTTCTATCCACTGGTTTACTCCCCAAATGACTGTAATGGCCAGAGCTGCACCGATCCAAAGCCAGGAGCCAGGAGCTTCTTCCGGGTCTCCCATGTGGGTGCAGGGGCCCAAGGACTTGGGCCATCTTCTGCTTTCCCATGCCACAGCAGAGAGCTGGATTGGA